CACCCACACCCGGAAACACACCCAAATCCACACCCCACTCACACCCCACTCACACCCCACTCACACCCCACCCACACTCCACACCCACACCCACACCCATACGCACATACCGACACCCCACACAGAAACACACACCCGCACCCACACCCACCCCTGCAGTGCAGTTTTCATACTGTCAGGTCTGTCTTTTGATTCTTATGAAAGTCAGCACTCGATATCTATAAGTCTGGAATAATTTATTGTAGAAAATATATCGTGTCTTATTAAAAAAATACTGGTCTTTCGCTGTTTTAGATTAGTGTGATGTTTTGGTAGTAGCGTTTCACTAATCTTAGAATTTTTTCAATAATTGAAATCCTTTGTTTACTTCTTGTTGTGTTGTTTCTAACAATTTGATGAATTGAATTTTGGAATTATCTTCATCCGATAGAGCTCGACCCATTCCTTTTATCTCCGCATAATGCTGACCCACGTCAGATAGAAGATCACATATCCGTTTTAAATTATCAGTTACTTCTTGAAAGTGAGTTTGAATTGGAAATAAAGCATCAACAACAGATTGTGCATCGACAATACGTTGACGAATCTGTGCACCTGCCTCTATCACACCTGCCACGCTCGCTCCAAAAATCATACCATGAGCATTGATCCACTCATAAGCTGTTACCCATGCAGTTGCTAGCCAAGCTGATATGACATTGCATCCATAGATGAAACAGGCAGTACCGCCGATGATCAAAACGGCGGCAGCTACAATACCGATGCCTAAATCCCAAAAAAATTGAATTAACTTTTCAATATATTATTCAGCCATCTATCCCGGCCTTTCTTACTTATATACACTTTTCTCCATATTTTTTTGACTTCTGCACTGCCTGCTTGTTCGATCATCGAGTTCAACTCCTGAAATCTAGTAAACAGATCAACTGCTCTTTCACTTAAGGTGGTGATTGTTTCTTTATCTATGGATTCTATTAATTGCCTAGTTGTCGTTGCTCTTCTTACTCTGGTTAATGTGCATGCCAAAAACTCTTGCGAAGCCATCAAAAATTTAAGATAATCACCAGTTGTTGAATGGACTTTCTGCTGCGTCGATCTGTCCAGTTTAGGCATTATCACCTTCAAAGAGTTGTGGAACTCATTAACTGCATCATTTACTGATGAAGCTAGCTGTTGTGTTCCACCTGCAACGAAGTTAATGATATCATCTGCATTAGGCGGCTCTTGTGTTTCACCAGAAAAAGGATTCGACTGCTGTGCATTGCGGTAAATGTTTGTTTGTGCCGTAGATACACCTGCGGCAGAGTTTAACTCCGCCATTTAATTAATCTGAAGTTAGATATCTTTAGTTTATTATTCAAGTGAAAAATCGGGCACACATTAGTATAGCTCATCTCCCCACCAAACGTGAAACCCATGTCCTGCTCTCCACATCCTTGTCATTCTTCGACCTTATGGCAAAAACTGAAAGGGTGAGAGTGTAGGATGAGTTTTTGTCATAAAGTCCACGAACGACAAGGATGTAAGAAGCAGGACATGGATTTCAAGTTTAGTGGAGGGCTATACTAAACTGTGCCCAAAAAATCTTGTATTGCAACTCATTTGCATGTTTGACTTGTGACCGCCTCAGATGAAATGCTTTATGAGACTATATTTTCCTTAGGTGAAGTGCCGTAATTTATACTACACAAAGAAGTGTGAAATCCTTGAGTTTGTATGGCTTGATTTGCTTTCATGAGTAACCTAATCTTTAAGGTAAAAAAAAAGTGAATAATTCTTGAAAAGTTGATTCATAGTACATACACTTGTTTAAGATCTTTTTTGCGTATAGATTTTTTCTTTTTTACTTCAGTAATCTGATCTTTAAGCAAATCAAAAAGTGAACGCTTGGAATTTTCACATAAAGTTGTGAATTATTTAGTCGGTGCATTCTGTCGAAAGCTCCTGTTTTTAAGGTGCGCGAAACTCAAAATTTCCCCAAACCTCCGGTGTGGGTGTGGATGTGCGGATGGGTGGGTGTGGGTGGCTATGGGTGTGTGGGTGTGGGTGGGTGCGGATGTGGGAGTATGGGTGGCTATGGGTGGGTATGGATGTGTAGGTGTGGGTGTGCGTGGGTGTGTAGGTGTGGGGGTGTGGGTGTGGGTGTGGGTGTGTAGGTGTGGTGGTGTGGGTGTGGGTATGGGTGGGTGTGGGGATGTGGGTGTCCATGTGTGTAGGGATGTGGGTGCGTGTGTGGGGTGTGGGTGGGTGTGGGGTGGGTGTGGTGTGGGTGTGGTCGTGGGTGTGGTTGGCTGTGGGTGTGGGGTGTGTTTGTGGGTGGGTGTGGGGTGTGGGTGGGCGTGGGTGTGGTGTGGGTGGGTGTGGGGTGTGGGTGTGTGGGTGGTGGGTGTGGGTGGGTGTGAGTGTGGGTGTGGGTGTGGCGTATGGGTGGGTGTTGGTGTGGGATGTGGGTGTGAGTGTGGGTGTGAGTGTGGGTGGGTGGGTGTGGGTGTGGATGTGGGGTGTGTGGGTGGGTGTGGGTGTGGGGTGTGGGTGTGTTGGGTGTGGGTGTGGGTGTGGGTGTGAGTGTGGGTGTGGGTGGGTGTGGGTGTGGATGTGAGTGTGGATCTTCTGTTCACTCATCCACCCATGCTCACACTCACATTCACACCGATGCTCACACTCACATTCTCACCCACACCCATCCCCACCCACACCCACACCCACACCTGCACCCACACCCACATCCACACCCACACCCACACCCTAATTGGAATGGCTGCCTGAAGATTATTTATATTAATCGATTTGTTTATTATGTTATTGATCATAGTTCTATGATCATCGATCATCCTACGATGATCATTAATAGATGCCACCACTGCTTTGATATCTGTACTATCGTTACTATCTCTTTTTTGACGTAACTGTTGTTTAAATTCTGTTGTATTACAATGACTAATCAATGCATTTTTAATATAAATAATGTATTTATTTTTTATTAACTGTTGATCATATGGAATTAATGATGATGATGATGATGTATCTTTTCTATCAATTGGATGTGCAATAGAAAACCAAATTACAAAATCTAAAACTAGTTAACAGTATGGAACTGTTAACATCATTTTTTATTTATCTGAAATATAGAAAAAAATAAAATAATCAATTGCATTAAATATTCATATAGAATAATAAATATTGAAGGATAGGGTGTGGGTGGGTGTGGGTGTGGGTGGGTGTGGGTGTGGGTGTGGATGTGGGTGGGTGGATGTGGATGTGGGTGTGGGTGTGCGGCGTGGATGTGGGTGTGGGTGTGAGTGTGCGGCGTGGATGTGGGTGTGGGTGTGAGTGTGGATGTGGGTGGGTGTTGGGAGGGAAGGAACTCATACCCACACCCACACTCACACACCTACCCACACCCACACCCACCCACACCCACACCTACCCACACCCACACCCTCACATATTACACGTCCATCACGCCAATCATGAGTAAAATTACAAGTACCATTATAAGGAACATCTTGTGGTTCTGCATTTCATTCATTAAATTCAATTTTGACAATTCAAAAAAAATCACTTAAATAAGTAGATTTTAGTAATATAATGATAATAGTAAGATTTACTAGCATAGACAATAGTAAACAAGTTACGAATAGAAAGTTATGATCTATTCTTTAGTACATAGCAACGATAGATTTTTCGTTTTGTGGAACTCACGTATATTTTCGAAGAAAATAGTGAGTGTAAGTTTTAAGTTCGAGGTTTTGCGGCTCCCCCACCACCCTCCCTCCCCTTACAGACAGGCCCCCCTTACAGACCATAGCAACG